AGGAAGAGGGAAGAAGGAGAAATAGGAGGAAGATAAGGTAGTAACACTTGTACCCATCGTGCTCGGGCACCTGAGGCAGGAGAGTTGCTGAAGACTTGAAGTCTGCCTCCATTGTGCTGGGATTAAAGGTGTGCACCACCACCACCACCACCACCACCAGCACCACCACCAGCACCACCGCCGCTGCCTGGCGGATTTCTTTTTTGTTTTGAAGTTAGGTAGGCTTTGAATCTCTGTTACAGGCCCATTTTTCTCAAATGCCCTTTTACTCTTAGCTCAAGGCTTTCTAGGCCCTGGTGTGGCGTTCTAGCAGATAAGATGGCTCCTTTTCACCTTGTGGCTGATCTCTCAGTTGTGTTTCCTCATGTGTTTCTTTCTCTTCTCAGCATCTCCAATTCCTTGGTGTCTTTCTCTGCTGAAATTTTGTCTCGGATACTGTGTGAACCACCTCTGGCCCTTCGCCGGATAAAGCCTGGTAATGTCCTTGCTGCTGGGGAGGTTTGAATTGGAGCCTGGGACCGTGTAGTCCTGGCTGAGCCACTGTCCACCCTTCCCTCCATCCGTAGAGAATGCCGGGGCTGTTAAAACGGGCGTGAAGCTAACGGTAGCTCTAGAAACGGATGACTGTGACTATCCCCCTCACCTGGACATATATATCGAAGAGCCACACTTGCCTCCCCAAATAGGACTCCTCCCAGGAGCCCGAGTCCACTTCAGCCAGCTGGAGAAGAAGATTTCCAGGTGAAGACCTGTGTTGTGTGGCCATACCTCCTTCGCTTACTGATGTCCTGTTGAACACTCCCCCCACCTGACTGTGCTGCAAGGACACCTTTCTTTGCTAGTACTATTTTGTTATGTTTTAGGACAGGGACTCACTATGCAGTCCTGGCTCTTCTGCAATTTCCTGTGTAGCCCAGGCTAGCCTCAAACTTAACACCATCCTCCTGCCACTGCCTCTGTCTCCCAAATTCTAGGAATGCCGTGCTCAGCTTTGCTGTGGCTTTGGTTGTTAGTCTGCTGTCTTCCTCTGTTCTTGCTGTGGTAGAGCTGAGGGCATGGCCCTGGGAGAGGCATGCCCTCCTCAGCTCGGTGCCTACCCCAGCCTGCTTGCTCTCTGCTCCTCACTGTTCTTTTCCCTGCAGATCCAACATTGTTTACTGTTGCTTCCGGCCATCCACTTCCGTGCAGGTCCTGAGCTTCCCCCCAGAGACGCAAGCCAGGTAGGTCAGGGTTCAGGCTCTGATCTCTAAATGTCCCTGTTTCACCCTGACATCCCTCGTGTGTCTTCCTCCAGAATGTTTGCCATGGGTGTAGTCTTCTAGTCTTCTCTGATCACGGTAGAGTTGGTTTTTGTTAGTTTTCAAGACAGGGTCTCTCTGTGCAGCCCTGGCTGTCCTGGAACTCACTCTAGACCAGGCTGGCCTCGAACTCACAGAGATCCACCTGCCTCTGCCTCCTGGGTGCTGGGATTAAAGGTGTGCACCACCACTGCCCAGTTTAGCATTTTTTGAGTCAGAAGGATTTCATATGCTCCAAATAGAAAAAAAAAATGCCCAGTGCCTATCAATTTACCCAGAAAAACTTGAGGGTCTAAGCTCTTGAAGGCTTTTCCGTCTGACATGCAGATATATCTTTCTTGACTAATGTCTTGGTATTCAAGCCTGAGAAATAATTGATGGCTCTTGGAGATCGGGAACCAGAGTGTGGCAAGGGCTGAGGGCTTCCGGGAGTGCACAGGACTCACCTCGGTCCATCCTGTCCTTGTTTGTGTTCTTTGTGTAGTCCAGTTAGACTCACCAGGAGTGCACAGGACTCACCGCGGTCCGTCCCGTCCTTGTTGGTGTTCTTCGTGTAGTCCAGTTAGACTCACCAGGAGTGCACAGGACTCACCGCGGTCCGTCCCGTCCTTGTTGGTGTTCTTCGTGTAGTCCAGTTAGACTCACTTGCTTTCAGAACTCCTCTTCCTTGGTTTAGGTTTTCTGAGATGGTCTCACTTTGTTGCCTTGATTTTTTTTTTTTTTTTTAATAAGCTTTTACTATGTAGCCTTGGCTGGCCTGGAACTCACAGAGATCCCCCTGCCTCTGCTCCCCAAGTGCTAGGATTAAAGGTGTGTGCTTCCATGCCTGGGTAACCTTGAAATTTCGATGAGGCTGAATCCCTGTGCTGGGGTTGTTGATCCTAATTACTAGGCCTACCTTCTTTGCCTGCGACCTGACTCGTCGTCCCCCCCCCCTCTCTCCTTAGGGCGCCCCTGCCCCACATCTACCTGGCTGAACTTCTCCAGGGTGGCCGGGGGCCCTTCCAGGCCACTGCCTCTTGCCATGTTGTTTTTGTCCTGAGCCTTCAGATCCTGTGGGTGTGTGCCCATTGCACCAGCCTTGCCCCCCAGGTATTGGAGAGGACAGGCTGAGCCGGGTGGGAGGGTCGGAGTGGTGGCATCGGATCAGGAGGGCTTTTCCAGCTGTCTCGTTTGCCCCCTGCAGGGGAGGTGTAGTCGGCAGGACCACAACTGTCCAGCTCAGACGGCTATCAGCCAGGCCAGTATCAGGTAAGGCACCTTGTCACGTGGGTTCCTTCCAGGTCCCACAGCTTCTCATGTCGGCAGTGGCGTGGCTTTTGTGTGATGGAGATTGCTGATACTAACTACAGAGTGAGTGTCAGGCCAGCAGGGCGACGTAGCAAGACCCTGTCCCGTCCTCCTGCCCCTAGTACTGTCTTTGTTTGAGTGACTGAAGGTACAGCAAGCTAAATACTGGAAGCATTGTGTCAAGAGAGCTGTCGGATCTGGGGACTGCATGTGGCTTTGCTCTCCAAGTTTTCCTCCCCCTTCCCTAGGCTCTTGGTAGAAGACGGCACTGCGGAGGCCACAGTGACCTGTAGGAATCACCACGTGGCAGCAGCACTCGGGCTGAGTCCTAGTGAGTGGACCTCGGTCCTCGAGTGTGCACGGAGGCCAGGGAGAGTGGCCTTGCAGTTTACAGGCCCGGGGGCCCCGACAGAGGTAAGTGCTTAGACAGATAGCCAAGTTCTTGGGGTTTCGGCAGATGGTTGGGAACGTGGGTTCCAATTAACCCCGGGTTTCCCTTTTTAGTCTCCAAGCAAAACCCATGAACCCTTGGCCCTGTTCCTCCGGACACTCTGTGGCAGCCCCTCTGTCCTCCGACCTATTAAGCTTTCTTTTGCACTTGAGAGGAGACCCTCTGATGTCACCCCACTAGGTGAGGACAGGTGGGCAGGCCCTAGAAAGGAAGATGCAGGGGGGCCGGTAGGGATTTCTAGACCGGGGAGAAAAATGGTGGACAGGACGAAACCCCCACCCACACGGGCTGTTTGCTCTTGCTGTCCTAGAACCGGCCCGGCTGCAGCAGTTCCAGTGTGGAGAGCTCTCCCTGCGGACCAAAGTGAACCCCAGGCCCCGACTGCTCTGCCTCTCCCTCCAGGAGCCGGAGCTCCCCGCCGCTCCCTCTTGACGGAACTCCAGAGGTGGTCGGTCTCAGTGCTCCAGGACGCTGCAGTCGGAGCTGCAGTCGGAGCTGCAGTCGGAGCTGCAGTCGGAGCTGCGGCCGCTGTCCTCTGTAGTTAACCCTGAGAACAGCCAACCGCAGCCGATGGCGGGTTTCCCTCAGGTCGGGGTAGGCGGCCCGCGCCCCTAGGTGCCCTGAGTGCGTGGGGTCTGCCATGTGTGGGGAGCAGAGCAAGAACTTGTCCCTACGACCGTGTGTGATCGGCCTTGGGGCCGCAATAAACCGCTCTGAGGCCTTGTGACCTGGTTCCTCCGTGAGGTGCCACACTGGACTCGCTCCCTAGTGGGTGGCGTTTCAGTCACTGCACTACCGCGTGGAAGGGGCTTGGAGAGCTGCTGGGCCTGCAGCAGGGTGACAAGCCGGTCACCAGGAGAGTCAGTGGGGACAGGGGGTGAGGCCCTGGCTGTAAGGTGCTCTCAGCGAGCTTGGCAGGAGCCGGAGGGTTTGGAAGGGTTTGGAAACAGAGGACCGACGGGAGGTGAAGGGCCGAGTGGGGGGGACGGACGGACGGACGGACGGACGAGGAGGCTGGAATACCTGTTCTGGGAGTCCCGGGGCCAGACCTAAGGCGGACCCTCGGTAACATCAGCCGGGTCCCCTGGTTCTCCTGAACCTTCCAGAACTGCTTTCAACGCCTTGCTTTGCGGTCTTCCCTGTTTGCTTTTGAAACGTCAGAGCCATTACATACGGATTTGGGGCTGCCTTTTCCACGTCTGCACCGCAGCTGGCCGGTTAGCTCAGTTGGTTAGAGCGTGGTGCTAATAACGCTAAGGTCGCGGGTTCGATCCCCGTACGGGCCAAAGGCTATCTTTTTATTTTCAGATACTTTTATAGAAAGGATTAGTTCCTGGGGTATCATTTGCAATCCCTTAAACCTCAATTGCCAGCGGTCTACAACTAGGAAGGAACGCGCTCCGGGGTCTAGAAGCGGGGAGCAGTCTGGTCGCCGCCGCCGCTGCTTCCTTTCCTACGCGACCTTTGCTGGAGACAGAGACTGGGAGGACCCGGCAGGAGGGGTCAAAGGACGTTCGGTGCCGAGCCAAAGGCCCATTCCGAGTCTGTCCGGCTCAGGCTTTCTTCTTGTCTCACACCCAGAGTCAAAACGGCCGTGGGTGGAGGAGGAAGAGGAGCGTGGGGAGTAACAAAGGCACAGAATTAAAACACAGACCCAAGTTCTGTAGTCGTGGCCGAGTGGTTAAGGCGATGGACTAGAAATCCATTGGGGTCTCCCCGCGCAGGTTCGAATCCTGCCGACTACGTCCACAAATAGCTTTTTAGTTCTTGAAACTTTCGATTGTATTGTTTCTGTCCCGAGAACTGTGTGACACCCTAAAGGTCCGGTCGGAATTCTAGAGTCCGAGCTTAATCGTGCATTTCCTCTCACTCGTGGGAAATATCAAGTATTTTCGACTGCACGATAGATTCTAGTTTCAGCTGTAAACCATATATTCCTGTAGTACATTCCAGAAGAGCTTTCTTGCGGCCTTGGCGCCGTGGCTTAGTTGGTTAAAGCGCCTGTCTAGTAAACAGGAGATCCTGGGTTCGAATCCCAGCGGTGCCTTATGTATGGTAATTGAAATTGACGCACATTATTCCGTTTTTAATTGGAATTAAACTTTACCAATTTTATCTAAGAGCAGTCACGTTTCTCAACTGTAAAATGGCCCTCTTACCTTGCCCGCAATCTGGAGGTTCACAATGCACCTGTCCTGTGACCCCATACCCCTCCTTCCCTAATCCCATACTCTTTGTATTTGAACCGCTGTGTTTTGTTGAGGTCTTCATTGTATTTCTTTTGGTTTGGGGCCTCATAGTTTCATACTCTGGATATATAAAGAACATGTTAAAATTTGGTGTGAATTCTAGACGCAGTCCTGTAGCAGGCAGGCCTTTCCTGTGAGGTTACTACTGCCCCAGCTCCATCTAGCCCCACAAGAAGCAAGTTAGGACAGGAATCAGCAGGACTTAACAGGCCTGCCACCACTGAAGGACCAGGACGTTGTGGATAGGGAGTAAAGAGGACACCATGACCAAGGGTCATCGGGAGCCTCGTGTGGGCTAGTGGGGGGTGTTCCTGGCAGACTGAAGCTGGGTGATAACGGTGGACATGGATGCTGGAAGCAGGACAAGAACTGAGGATGCTGGCATGGCTGCACCTCCTTGGAAGACAGACAGCTCTAGACAGCATTCCGTCAGGCAATGTCTGGGTAGAAGTGTGGGCTTCAAGGAATTGTTCCCTCCGAGACAAGGCAGTGAGTGACACATGGGAACCCGAGAGCACATCTGTGAGCAAAGCAGGAAGGGAGACCTTTTCCCAGGCCCTTTCAACACAAGGCAGGATGGGCGAGGACAGGGGACCCCAAGAGCACGAGAAAGAGGTGGCATCTCACCGTGCCACAGAATGGAAGGCAGGGGCAGGCTCGGCTTCCCATAGGAGGTAAGCGAAGCCTTAAAGACCAGGTCGCAAGTTCCTGGGCATTCTACGGCAGGGGTGGCGACAAAGCAGGGAATGGTCAGGAGTACTGGCTGCTCTTCCAGGGGAGCCTGGTTCAGGTCCCAGCCATCTCCAACTCCAGTTCCAGGGGACCCGACCTCCTCTGCTGGCCCTGCAGTCATTAGGTGACATGTGCAGACACCCATACACGTTTTAAAAAGGTGTTAAGTACTTAGCTGGACTTGGTGGCACGTGCGATAATTCCAGCCCTCAGTTCAAAGTCATCCTTACCGAACAAGTGAGGTCAAGGCCAGTTTGAGTTTAGTAAGATGTTACTTAGAACACACACACACACACACACACACACATGCACGCACGCACGCACGCACGCACGCACGCACGCGCACACACGAGGGAGGGACAGCTGCAGGAAGAAAGTTCTAGACATGCTTTGGGAAAATATTGTCTTAGTAACTGACAGGAAGGGCCTGGATGAAGAAATTCTCCTGCAGGGTAGGCTCCTGCTGTAGCCACGTCAACGACTGCAGAACACCAAGACGTCTTGCCCTATCCCAGTGGCAGTCAGCAAGTGTGGCAGTCCAAAGTTAAACCCTAGAGCTGTGTGTCTCCGTGCAAAGCTTTGGCTCCTATCACCATGTGAGATGTTTTCATCAAAGTCGGTGATAAGGGCATTCCACGGTGCATAGGAGCACATTTGTACTCCGTTTCGTAGAAAGCTAAAAGGAACGCATAATTCAGTGGCCCCGGTGTATGTGACCCCTCCCTCTGCTACTGAGAGAATGGGGACCGAATGGCGAGGATTAAAAACACCAGCACCATGCATCTCGGGGGCGAGGCTAGTCCCGGGAGCAAAGCTGGACTTTGAAGTGCCTGCTTTTGTCTCTCCTCCCAGTGGAATCTGCTGGCTAAGGAGGAGATGTGACACAGACCTTCTAGGATGCTAGTTCATTGTCTTCTCAGATTGCTGACTCTGAATGAAGATTCAATCCCTGGGTCTTGTCCATGTTTCAGGCGGCACACACCCAGTTACGCTGGGAGGGAATGGGACAGCTCAAGAGGAGGGTGGGAGGGCATCTGATCCTACCAGCTGGGCGCCCAGGGCCCATGCTAGCGACACCTCCTTGGGAGGTCTTTTGCTCTCTCTCTGACTTCTGGCTGGGCGTGGACAGGTCGTGTCGATCCGTGGTGGGCTACTGAAGGGTCACGCCTAGGGCACTGCAGTAAGGCTAACGCAGAGACGGCGAGAAAAGCTGCCTTCCACTCAGGTCGCGGTCCCCAGCGCGTTTCCAAACCAAGCCGCCCCACGGATTAACGTCAAAGCTCGAGTCTGGGCCGGAGGGCTCCGGGCGGGTCGAGGAAGGGCGGTGACCTCAGGGTTAGGGGGAAAACGCCATCTCTAACCGCAGCGCGGCCTAGCACGGCGGCGCGGGGACAGAGTCGGAGCACGCGGGCCAGCGCCGGGCGGCAGACGCTCAGACCCTGCCCGCCCCAAGGGCTGGCTTTGCAGCGGGCGGCCGCCCTCCACCGCGCGGTGTCACCCGGACTGCAGCAAAAGTCCTACGACCTCTATGGGCGTCCGCAGATAAGGTCGCGTGTCGGCTCGTTGGTCTAGGGGTATGATTCTCGCTTCGGGTGCGAGAGGTCCCGGGTTCAAATCCCGGACGAGCCCCGTCTTTGCACTTTTGTCAGTGTCACGGAGTCGGCGGTAAGCTCTTTACAACACGACGGGAGCGGAAACGTCAGCACAGTCCAAGCCGGCATCCCCGGGCGAGCGGAGCACCGTCCGTTTTTAGGCAAGCCGCCCGGTTTCTGTTTCCTCCTGCTAGGTCTACCCTCACCCAGGACGCTGGAGGCTGGTGTCCGTTTGCCCGACATCCGTCTTGGCATTGTGGATGACAGGGGAGGAGCGGCGAGAGAGAGAGCCAGGGATCCTGAGAACGCGGGTTTCGACAGCCGCGGAGACCATCTGTGCCTTTCGGTGGCTCCTGCTGTCTCCGCACTTTCTGCAGACGCCCTTTCCGTTGCTGTCTGCAACGGGCGTGGAGTTCTGATCGCCGCCGTGAAGGGCTGGAAAGAAGAGGCCGCAGAGCCGGCAAAGCAGCCGCAGTCTGGAACCCAGATCAGGGGTCTGGAGGAGCGCTGAGACAGCTTACTCCTCGTTAGTATAGTGGTGAGTATCCCCGCCTGTCACGCGGGAGACCGGGGTTCGATTCCCCGACGGGGAGGAGCCAAATGCGCTTTTTGTTAACTTTCCGGGCATCGCCAATGTTAACCTTTGGCCAGCTGCTGCGCCCGAATGTAGAGGCCAGGCGATTCAACCTTTGCTTTGGCCCCCGGGGCATCTTCGTCTGGATTTGCATCACCCCCCGAGCAGTGTCTGTGGTTCCTGCGGACCGAGAGCACACACCCGGGAAAGCATACGGGACACAGGGCAGGACCCTGGCGAACGACCGGGTCTCCGCGGACGGGGAAGGAGAGGTTCCTCTGGACATTTATACCCACCATCGATTTGGCCAAGAAGGAAGGCGGGGGGGTGGGGGTGGGGGGAAAACAAAAGAAAGTTGTCAACTGCGTTGGCCGGGAATCGAACCCGGGTCAACTGCTTGGAAGGCAGCTATGCTCACCACTATACCACCAACGCAGGTGTTAACAACTCTTGCTGCGATCCAATTTATATTCATCTCCACGCGTACTTCTGACGTCATGTCAGATTTGTGGTTATAACGAAAGCACGAGTAAGAAAAACAGGATCCAGAGAAACTAAACGAGATTTTTTTTTTCTGTCATTAACACATCTGGGATTAATGTAGAACTCTGTTTAGGAGTCAGTGACACCATAATGACATCTTCTCTAGGAAAAAGAAAAAAAGAAGACAGTCGTTCCAAACGTTGAGGTCGCTTTTCTGAATGGGCTTAGTATGGCCCAAGGCTGAAGAATTTGCCTTTCCGCCAAAGACACACGAGCACGTTTAACCGTAGTTGATTTCGGTGTGAGCGCGAGCCTCCCTCGGTCTGAGAACCGTGAGAACAAAGCCCGAGATGCAACCCGAGGAAAGATCCGCCGTGCTCGCTGCGGAGAAGACTTCTGTTCACCGGGCCCGTCAACCCCAGGGCGCACAGAGGCCTCGTGGCGCAACGGTAGCGCGTCTGACTCCAGATCAGAAGGTTGCGTGTTCAAATCACGTCGGGGTCATCAGCTGTACTTATTTTCTGGTTATGTGTGCCTTTAAAAGAACACGTTCCTTTCTGTTCTATTACATTCACACTTTTTCTCTCCTCGACGCTGTGAATTCTGGTCAAATATTTTACGCCTTTTCCCGGTTTCTGTCAAAATAGCCATGCCCTTTACTTTAATAAATATTTAGATATCCTAACAGTAATTGTTAATGACAGTCGCCCAACTCCTGTTCAGAAAATCTATTTAAGGCAATAAATGTTCTTTTTTCGGAAAACCTGTAGCAATAGTTAATCACTTTAAAAACAATAATAGTTATTGACATTATCCCAAACTGCTGTTTTCGCTTTATACCTTTTCATTTATGTTTACGGGTGGGGCCCACAATTTACTCAACATCTGTATGACAAATATAGTTTTATATTCCTTATGATTGGAGCAACAACCTAACATTTTATGACACTTATGTAAAGTATTATGCAGTTCTTCTGAGGTTGGACATTTAGCTATCTGGTCATCTGCACTTGTTTCTTACTATTTAAAATGCTGCCACCAGCGTCGCCTTTCTGCTTCTTGTTCGTTTGGTATGTTTATTTGGATTTGGGGGCGGTTGTTGGGGTTTTTGTTTTTTCGTGAGTTCTCCTGTAGCCCAGGCTGGCCCGAGAGCCCTAGGTAGCTGATCTTGCTGCCTGCAACTCCCAAGAACCGACTTTACAGGCGTTCGCTCCCAGGTCCTATCATTTCCTTTGCCTTTACTGACCAATATCTGTGACGTGAATTCCTGGAGTCTCAGTTTTTGGTTAAAGGTTTTTCTTAGCTGTCCTAGTGATTTTAAGGGGCTGTGAACCTTTTTCAAGCCTAAGCTAACTTCCTCCCACCCCCACCCCCCAGTGTTGTTATATTTAAAATTAAGTCTCGCTGCTATGTGTTTTGGGTGCGGGCGCCAGTGTGGACCGCCCGGCACCATACCTCAGCAAACTGAGGAAATCAAGGGCTTTCTGCTCACAGCCCGGCATCCTTCTGTGTGGCACTGAAGGAATGGAGTGAACCAGACTCAGAATTTGACTATTAAATAAAAAAACCTTGAAAAGTTAAAAATAAAATAAAATTCCATTTCGTTGTTTTATTTTGTAATCCTGGCTTGGAACTTACTATGCAAACCAAACGGGCTTGTACTTCAGCGATCCTCCTGCCTCTGCCTCCGAAGCGCTGGGATGACAGGCGGGAGCGAGTCACCGTGGGTGGGGACAAAGTCTAAACGTAATTTTCGTCATCCCTGATGAACTTTGGATAGAACGCAGAGTATCGCATATAAAGGACGCTCCTCTCCACGCTGCTCACTAGGAGCCATGGACATTTTTGCTACCTTCAGTTTGTTTTCAAAAGGGGGAAAAAAGCAGAACAAAAGCAAGAAGTGAAAGAGAAACCCAAGCTAGCCACCGCTTCTTGCCCAACCCACCTCCTCCCACATCACACACACACCACACCATACACACACACACACCACTTACACACACACACACCACTTACACACACACACACACCCCACACCATACACACACACAACACTTACACACACACCACACACACCACACACACCACTTACACACATACACACACCACACACACACATACATATACCACATATACACCTCACACACACCACACACCACACACACCACACACCACACACACGCACCACACACACACACCACACACACA